TAGTGTTTGTTTAAAACCTCTGTTGCTTCTTGTACAGATTGTTTTATTTCAAAAAATGAGGCGGGTAAGGGAGTAAACACTTCTCAATTCCTTGAGAGCTGGAGAGCATCCTCCAGTTGCTACAGCTATAGGTGTATGGAAGCAACCAGCACAACCTCTCCCTTGGTTTGGACACACCTTAATCCCTGCCCCACCCCGGGCTTCTTGCTGCCACTTGACTCTTATCTGCTAAGCAGCATGAGGAAATAGTATGGCTACAATAGAGATTTTAAGTTGAAAATGTGAAAGAAGTCTTTAAAAATACACTCTGAAATTATAATTTTCTACTTACAGCTTGCAGAATTGAAACAAATGACAACTGTTCAGAGCCTTTAAGGCAAACAGAAGGTGGTTTTGTGAATAGTTATAAATGTATTTATAAGAAAGTACTTGAGACTAAAAAACTAGTAGTAGTCCTGGTTGTGACGTTATGCATACATGTCCATGTTGTGGTACATCATGTCATACTTAGTCCATGACTTTGACATTGTGCATGCTGCACTTCCCTCCCACCCCCCAAATAGTAGTCTAAGCTTTGGAGCAAATCTGGTTAAATTCAGATGTTAACACCTGCAGTCATTTTCTTTGTCTTCCTGTGGTTTGAGTTGTTTCAAGTATCAAAAAGCTTTGTTACCGCACTTCCTGTTTGAAGCCATAGTGAACAGTATGCAGTCAAAGCATATAGGGGGTTCACCCTTAAAAGGAACTTTATAGGTGTTTTTTTAAAACAGTGGGCTGTTCTTAAGCTTTATAATCAACAAGTTGCTTTATTCTAACTGACCCTCCACGGTATGCAGCATATTCCTGTTTGGATCAGCTAAGGTAAATGTTCTCTAACCTGCGTTTTGCCAGTGAATGTGAAGAGCTTGGAGGGGAGATTGATTTCTTTTTTTACCCTTCCTCCTTCCTGCTCTGTTTTATTTCCTACAGAAAAGTTAATACTGCTTTAATAAGAAAAATTGCTGAGATTCTAAAGGAATGTGTTCCACCCCCACTATCCATTAATGCAGTGTTTGAACTTACTGCCTTTTACGACTGGTATTTAACAATAAGCAGTAGTTTTGGGTTTTGCTTTAGACCAGCTACTGTGGAATAAACTTCAGAGTAATGAAAATGATCTTATCGGTTTTCACTTTAAAATTTAAATAATGTGTCCTTCCTAATACGTTCATTTCTTCATAGTACTTTTAAGTTCATCCCATTTATAATTTTAAGTTGTACATACGGTATAAAAGCCTTAAAATGTAACAGACCTGTTCAGCATGATACTCCTGTGTGTTCTTGCAATGTGAATCGTACAGTCTAAAATAAGTTGCATTCAAAGTTCAGAAAGTTTAAGTGGGAGAAAGCAAATAGGTGTTTCACCATTCATCACTCTGATTAACTTTCTGGTTCAGACAGAATAAGCACCTTGTCTTTTTGACGTGAGCTGTATGGTGTTCTGCCACTTTGAGCACCGTAAACTGTGTAAAGAGCAAAACCAGAGAGTGACGGAGCTGTTGTCTTGAACTGTGTTCTTCAGCCTCTGTTGTCCTCTTCATCTGTCAAGTCTATGCAGACAAATGCAGCAACACTTGCAAACAGCACCACATTGAAAGCTTGGTTCTACGACAAAGCAGAGAACTACCTGTGAAGCATTGCCCATGTTTTGGGATCTCATTAATTGCAGCTAGGTTTGGGGTGCAGTCCAGGCTTTGCAGGAACACTTTCTCATGAGATGGCTAGTCAGCTGATACTACATAATTACCTGACTGTAGGTCAGTATGGTGCTTTTCTCATTCTTCCTTTCTAACCAATAATTTGAAAAAGAACAGCAGAATTTTCCTGTTTCAACTTGTTCTTTAAACAAGCAACTAGCAGTGTAAAGGGAGTCATAGAGTGTTGCTGTTGACATTGCAGTGCCAATACACCTTTTTGCCTCCAGTTTAATTGCTTTTTCTTTCCATTTTGGTGCAGCAGATTTATACCTGATCTTTTATATTAACTTGGCCACTGTAAAAATCATTTGTTTAGCTGAATGGGGGCGTATAAAATCCCAGTGCTCTAACAAATACTGCTAAGCTTTTGTTTGCCTTTTAAGAGATGCAGTTACTGTCAGTTTTCTCCAGACTTACAGGTATGTTCTCCCAACACTGTTTTTTGGTTTTGTTTTTTAAATAAAAGACCACAGATTGAAAAACTGCTTGGCACTGATTGGAGAACTGTGAAATTAAAGGCAAATGTGGCACTATACAGGCTATAGAAGGTAAAATACATTTTTAAGAACAAATGTGTTATCAGAGACTGTTATCCATGATCTCTAACTTGGCTTTGTCATTCAGCAGCTTTTGATTTAAGGGGGAGGAAGTCAGTTTCAAGGAGAACTCTGTCCTGGAGGGCACAAGTCCTGCATGCTACAAGTGGCTGGGTGGGGAAAGTCTTATGCACCCTTGAGTATTTTGTAACCAGGGAGAACCTCGCAGTCTCACAGGACCGTGCACAGGCCCTTTGGGGTTTGTTCCCAGGGCTCCAGCTCAACATGGCACGTAATGCGGCAGTGATCTGGAGGAGCGTGCCAGCTATTGGTGAGCACAAGAGGAATTTCCCTGCCCTTTCTACATACAACTTCTGTACACGGGTGTAACAGCAGGATGGAAGTTAACCCTGTATGAGAACAAGAATTAGATATGTTAAATCTGGGCTTTGTCAAAAAGAGATTGTGAGGAAGCAGTAATATGAGCCTCAGAATTTCAGGAGCTGCAAATCAGAATATTGGGTCACTTGCACAGCAAGAGAAGCCCACTGCAGTGTATTCGTTTATTAGCTCTGGCAGGTTACAGTGTATTAGACTTCAGAATGCTCTCTAACTTTGCGTACTTGCTTTCTCAGTTTCTCATGATCTGAGCAGCTAGTATTGGGGGAGCATTGCTGCATTTCGGAACAACTTGGAGCCTATCTTCTCAGAAGCAAGCCCCCCAAGTTTTAAGGAGAGATAAGCTGTATGGTTACTGGGCTAAAATTGCCAATTGTTACATGCTTAACAGGAGTTAACCATGTTTTAGTTCCAATTTTGTTACATATTGAATCAAGTTTAGAAAAGAATTGCGTAGCATGCAAATTCTGAGACTGCCGAGAACAGTGTTTTCTTATCAAGCTTTTCTACATTAGTCCAGCTCTTGCTATTTTAAGTTGATGAAGCTTTCAGTAACCAGAAGAATTGAGAAAATTATGTGAAGCTACCTAATTATGAAGTCAGAACTTCCTTAGAGATTCTTAAAGTTATTTTCATTCTTGGATTTCACACTGCTGGTTGATAATTCCCATTTTTTATTGCAGCTTCTTGACACATAGATGGGATTTAGATGCTCATCTTTGAGGTAGAAAAAGGTCTTCTTTTAGGTAGTGAAAATGTCATATTAGCACTGTACTAAGACTTTTTTTGAAGTGTCTGACAAAAGAAAGGTTGTGTAGAAGGATTTTTTTGTTTTGTTTTTTTTTCTTACTCTGAAGGTGTTCTGGCTAATGGAATTGCTTTGCTCTATGTGGTATTAGTGATAGGAAAAGCTAGCAAAGCATTTTTCCGCCCTTCCTACTCTGATCTTTAGGCAAAAAATGCCATGAACAGGAATATAAATTTAAACACTACCAGTGGCTTTTTCAAAGCTATGAGAGAACAGTACTTTTGCGGGGGTTTCGCTATATAGATGGTGTTATTGCAGCCTGCATTTATTTCCTGAAGAGCCTCTGTTAGTCTCTTAAAAGGTAAGAAGTGGGAAAGCTTCCCGGAGGCTTTGGACTTAGTATGGGAATGGTGCTACTGTATTTCTGTATGTGCACATTATAGCCAACAGTCCTGGAGAGTACCTGAGTCATAGTGGCTGCAGAGTACAGTAACTTGGCGTGCATACAGTAGATGAGGGACCTTGTTGCGGATGTGCTTGACGTGTAGAGAACTGGTGAAGGAGTTGGCTTTGCCACAGAATGTGCATGTATGTACATATATATGTAGTTTATGTATCCCATGGAGTCTCCAAACCAATTCATACTGTGAGGAATTGCATACAAATAATGATGCGTAGTTACACACACATTTCTGTGAATGAGGATGCAGTTGTATATCAAATTACTAAGGAATATGCATGTAAAAACTTCTAGATACTCATCTCACTTTCTCTGCAAGTAAAGTTTATGATAGATGTCAAGACAAATAACCAGGGTGAAATCTCACAGGAATTTTTATTGCACTCTTACTTAAACAAACCAGGTTGGAGATTAACCAATAAACATTGTTTTAGCAAAGAAGCGATTGGAACCTGGAGCCTCAGTTGTTCCACGTGAGGAATTTTAGAGGTTTAAGGAAACAGTTTTGAACTCTACAAGTAATGCCCTATTTTGAAGCCAAATGTACATGAAGCAGGAGGGTAGAGAGAATGGAAGAAAAATACCTTGAGTTGACCAAGTCCAGCCATTTTGCAAATTTCCCATAAACAGAAAATCTGCTGATTTGTTTCCTCAACACGTAGAAAAGCACACCTTTGATTGACAGCTGTGTGACGGGGTTGGGGTTAAATACTGTTTAAACTTTGCCTTGTGAGTGTACTGGGTAACTTTTCCATTGAGAAACATGAAGTGTCGATAGGCATGATTCCGTAAGAAGTTTAAAGGGGTGTATGGGCAATTGTCGCTTTCTAAAATGACATTTGAAAGTTAGATCAGATATGGCTGTGATAAGATTGGACACCAATATATCCCTTGGTATAACCTCATGTAACCATAAGGGTAGTGAAAGCCTCATACAAATTTCTGGTATGTGCCATTTTTGGTAGTCACTGTAAAAATAAGCATGTGACTTGTTTGCTGGTGTCTCTTCAGTGTGTGGTTTAAGATATTACCAAGAAGTTGCTGGTGTGGGTGGCTGTCTGGGAGCATGAGATTCTGTATAGTCTTTCTTTTTGATGTCATGTACTTCTGTTTTCAGGTTCATACAACACTAGGGACCAAAGAAGCATACGTAACATTTCTGTGGTGCTGGGACCAACCTTCTGAAAGAAGACTCTAAAATAACTTTTTGCCTTCAAGTTGTTTGTCCTGGAACTAACTTGTCTTTGGAGAAGAGCTCAAGAGAGAAAAGATTTTCATATTGGAACTGTTATAAACAAAGCTATTTAAAGAACTTGCTACCTGAAGACAGATTTACGGAGGTTGAGTCCTGCTTTTCATCTGTGTTCCCACCTCAGACTGTAAACAATGAGTGAGTTTTGGTTGTGTTTCAACTGCTGTATTGCAGAACAGCCTCAGCCTGTAAGTATGAATATTAGCACAGCTTTGTTTTTGTATAATTAACTACATCGTTCACATTTCCTGGTTTTCTTACGGCTTTTTAAATTAGTGCTGTTTGGCCGAGTTCAGTGAGAACTAAGCAATTAATTAAGATCCTGGCTTAGTGGGGACAAAAAAATGTCTGGTTTAGGCTGTTGTCACACAGATATTTTCCTGTCCTTAAGCTCAGATCTATCCAAAGCCTTTGTAATGAACCTTTATTTGTTTTAATTGAAGAGGAGGAGAAGGGAAGGCTGAGGAGGACCTAAACATTAATTCTAAAATAAGTAATTTTTGAGTGGAGACCTGTAACTGTCCTGACTTCTGAATGGCTTAAGGCCTGGCTTCAGGTGTGGCTGGACAATGGTAAAGGAAGGAAATTATTCTGTTAGAAGCCCAGAGTGAAATCCAGTCTTCTTCACCTTAATTTAATTAAGGATTTCAGCCTTAATTGTTTTGTTAATTTTTAGATGAAACCTTAGGAGTGTAAAGGGACACACTCATACCATAAATACTTTTTTTTAAATAGAATTTGGAATGTCTATTATGTGAAAAAGTACATAGCAAACAGCTGGATAAAAGAACATTTCAAAACATATGTAAAGGAGACAAAGTACAGAAATATTCTTGGGTTTCATATAGTCTGACTAGATTTAGAGCGTGTTCCTGAGTCCAGTGCTGTTGGGAGAAAGTGTGCCTGCATGAAGGTGGAATTAACCAGGAATATGGTTAGCACTGGGAGAAAAATCATTGTATGTTATGGCATCCAGATCAAGCGAAATGAATGTATAGAAAGGTCAGGCATCTTGCAAATACACGGAAAAGAGCCCAGTTACCACTACAGGATATGGTGCAATTACAGTGACCAAGACAGAGTGAATAGAGCAAACTTACATTAATATGCTCAGATGATAATATTTGGCTTTAGGGAAGCCAAAAGATTAAAAAAAAAAAAATAAAAAAAATGTAATGTTAGGCGTTGTCATTGCTCAAAACCTGATTGCCAGACTGATCCTAGGGTGGCAATGCAAATATCGAAGTGTGACCATTAGTGTTTCTAACAAATGAATGCAAATTTATCTCAATCTTAGTCAAGTACAGCTGTGGGAGATGAACTGACATTGAAAGCTGCAGTCCTCTCCTCTTGCTTGAATACTACACAGTCCTTTAAAATGCTAGCTGCACCCATATATAGTCAAAGTTATTTGCCTAGTTTTTGGAACATGCATTTCAATTAAAAATAAGGTATGACTGTTAAAAATCCTTGAGATACAAGACGGCATATTCTGTTTGTTTACAAGAATCCTGAAGCTCAGTCCTTATAAAATCTTGACTCAAGCTTTATAATACAGTTAAGTCAATGCCCAAGAAATACATGAGATGTTAATACAGCATGTAGTGATCTGTGGGTCATGACTCATCGAAAGGGTGGAGAATGTACTTCAAAAGTGGAGAAAAGGGAAACAACCCATTTTTGTATGTTTCTGCTGATCTGGTGGCGTGCGTTTGCTTAGAAAATTAAAACCATCCTTATGTCCAAGATACAAATAGCACATTGCTGAGCATTGACCTAGTTCCTGAAATCTGCCTTTCAAATGTTGTGGGAGCCTTGCTCGTTATGAAGAGCCAAAATTCTTCAGGACACATCTGAGGAAAGAGTTGTGGGCACTCCGTGGCGTGCCTGATAATAGGCACTTGTCCTTCCCCTGCAGTTACTCAGCTCATTTTGCTGTGTTGTGTTGCATAGCTGTTGTTCTGCTATGCACTACTGCAATAAGCGGAGTATTTAATCAGATACATATACATCTGAGTAAGTACAGGAATTTTCTTCCTCTCTGACATGTAGCATGTACTGTCTGTGTGAGCAAACTGATAAACCAGGCAAGTGGTAAGGAAGCAGTTTGTCCCTGGGACCCCTAGAGGTCATCTAGTCCAACCCCCCCTGCAGTGAGCAGGGACACTGCTAACTAGATCAGGTTGCTCAGAGGCCCATCCAACCTGGCCTTGAATGTTTCCAGGGATGGGGCCTCCACTACCTCTCTGGGCAACCTGTTCCAGTGTTTCACCACCCTCATTGTAAAGAATTTCTTTCTTATATCCAGTCTAAACCTACCCTGGTTTAGTTTAAAACCATTACCCCTTGTCCTGTCACAGCTGGCCCTACTAAAAAGATTTTTCCCATCTTTCCTATAGGCCCTCTTTAGGTACTGTAAGGCCGCAGTCAGGTCTCCCCGCGGTCTTCTTTTCTCCAGGCTGAACAAGGCCAACTCCCTCAGCCTGTCCTCATAGGAGAGGTGCTCCAGCCCTCGGATCATTTTTGTAGCCCTCCTCTGGACCCGCTCCAACAGTTCCATGTCCTTCTTGTGCTGAGGGCTCTGGAGCTGGATGCAGTACTGCACTCATCACCGGTCTCCATCTGGATATGGAGCCATTGACCCTCTGGATGCGACCATCCAGCCAGTTCCTTATCCACCAAACAGTCCGCCCATCAAATCCATAGCTCTCCAATTTAGAGAGCAGGATGTTGTGGGGGACTGTGTCAAAGGCTTTGCAGAAGTCCAGATAGATGACGTCCATTGGTTTTCCTTTGTCCACTGTTGTCACACCATCGTAGAAGGTCACTAGGTTTGTCAGGCAGGACTTGCCCTTGGTGAAGCCATGCTGGCTATCTCGAACTATCTCCCTGGCCTCCATGTGCTTTAGCATAGCTTCTAGGAGGATCTGTTCCTTTATCTTCCCACGCACAGCTGGGAAGCATAGCTTCCTCATGGTCATTCATAGTTAACTGACTAACAGTGGCCCAGCCATCACTTTCATGTTCAGCCATTACATGTTCAGCATGCTTCTTCTGTGGAAGGACTAGGGCAGTCTTCGAGCAAAACTAACAACCACCAGCCTCTCTGAATAAAGACCTTGAAAGCAGGAAGTTACTTAATTTGCTACTTTTTCTGATCAATACTTAAAATACTCCTTTTGTTTTTAAACTTACATTCTCTGAAATGGGGTGGGGGGTATTGTTCTTACTATCTTTGTAAGGTGCTGCTGTCTGGGACACCTTTAATGTCATGGGTAGTGACATAAATTTTAAGCCTCTTCACTGGAGAAAAAAAAACCTGGCACTTTTAGTAGTTGCATGTTTCTGTGATATTTATAGCTTCCATCGATCTAAGGAGTTTTCCTCCTCTTGAAATCCAGGATGCAGGAACTGTCTCTGTTGCTTGCTTCTGGCAAAATTGTAGCATATTGTATCAGTAATCTTCAGCATCTCTATTCTTTGCAGCTATAGTGCAGTTAACATGAAAAATGCGTACATGCAACTGAGTCCTTTCAGTCAATTTTACAGAAGACTATGGAAGACTCAGACTGCACACAAAGGCATTTTCTAGGTTATTGCCAGTGCTCTGTGTGCCTTCCAGACTTGCATATTGGTGCTTTCCAGCACTTTTTCATGGCTTTGAACCATGTCTTTTTAGGTAAGACTTGCAAACTTTATGGCAATAACACATTACTTACTTAATTTCATTGCCGTCGCTTCCCTAATAGCATACGCCAGAGCAGAACAGTAACAATGCTGCCATCATATATGAGTACCTTTAAGAGGTTCCTTAATTAAAAGACCATATTCAAGTATGACCATCATCTTTTATTGAAATGTGTCATGGCACAGCTTTTTGTCTTTTGCCAATGCTAAATGGGTGCACTGTGTTGCTGTGAAATAAAATACAGGCGTCTTGGAAAGTGATATTCTACTCTCTCCTAATGTTACTTTGGTTGCTAAATATTTTGCTTGATGTTTCCAAGACTGCAGGACTCGCAATAAGATCATGGAAGGGACATGTTTGAACATGGGTCTCTATGCTTCTCTGAAATAGGGCGGTAACTGAAGAAACAGAGTATACTAAAAACCAAAACTAAATAGTGATACAGTTGAAGGAAGCATGTTCCTGATGGTGGCTTAGGTCTTGCTTTTTAGTAGCCTGAGGTCTTTACCACAGTAGAATGCAAAGAACAGCCAAGGGAAGGTGTTATCCTTTCAGCTTCTAGTTTCTTCTTGTCCGATTTGTATTGATAATCTATTTTACCGCAATTATTATTTTAGACAAGTAGTTGCTTTCACATTTGTTTTCATGATACCAAGCAGGTGATGTTAATCTCTTAAGAACTATGTTCAGGTTTTCTTGGTTGTTTAAATAGTCTGAATTCAGTCTCTTATGATCTGACCCAAACCTTTTTTTATTTTGAGAGGAGTAGCACTTTCTGTGATTGCACCAGGTTTCTTACACCTCCTACTGATACCCTTTATAGGTTCTGTAAGCTGATCTTGCGCCTTCCAGGGACAAGATGAGTCTTTCTTCCCATGCTTCCTATGCACTGTCATCCCATCCACTGCCACGTTTCAGTAAACTCTGCCAATTCCCAGCTACCAGATGCATTGCTTGGTAACAGAAGTTTAGAGAGCCTTTTATCTCACAGGTTTTCAGGGAACATGTCTGTGGTTTCTTTCTTAGGCTGAGCTTGTCGCCTACACCAGGAATCTGTTCTTTTCCTCCACTTATTTTTTTTTTTGTGTTCTGTCCATTTTTAACTTGCAAAGTTAATTTTTGGTTTGAGAAGCCTTTGGTCATGATCTGGTGCGCTCCCACCTGGTTTGGACTGCCGCCCAGTACAGCTGAGCTCTTCAGTTTTCTTTGACTTCGCAGTAAAATTACTGCTCTGCTGTAAAAGAATAAACTGTGCTCTCCTCCTCCTTGCTCCAAGCTTCATCTTCTCTAGTTAATTAGTTTCTGTTTTGTTGCTTGTCTCTCATTTAGATGATTTCCATTTTGTCAAAGGGCTATTATAGTTTCGCTGCATCCTATGCCATCAGTGTTTAAAGTGGTTTAGAAGGTTTTTCCTTCGTGTCTTTTTTGATGTATGAAAGAGGACTGACAGATCTGTAGAGTGGGGAGGCCCATCTTAAAAGACAGGCAGAAAAATGTTTG